AGCCAGCGATCAAGACCCGACTTGTCTTTTACCTGTGCTCTGATGGCATCAATCACTTTGAAGGCACCGTATCGCTGTGTGGAGATAGGGAAGAAGGCCTTACGCTACCTTCAGGGCACGAAGAACCTGAGGATGACGATCAAGAACAACGACTCCGGCCTCACTATGTTCCCAGATGCAGCATTTGCCGCGACAAGTTCAAGGTCCCACACTGGGTGGGTTATAATGTGGTCCGGGTCTCCGATGGCATGGAGGTCAGGTAGACAGGGGACAATAGCCCTTTCTACGGCTGAAAGTGAGCTTAATGCGATCCTGGATGGGTCAATAGGGATGATGGGACTCGAAGCGATGCTATCAGACCTACAGCTAGAGCCGTGCGACAAGGAGATCGCGAGCGACAGCACGAGTGCCCTAGCCATAGGGGCCGGGACAGGCTCGTGGAGAACCCGTCATCTCAGACTGAAGTCAGCCTGGCTTCAAGAGATGCTAGGCCGTAAGCCGTAATGAGCTCAGGGCTCGACACGAGCCAGGTGTGACCCAGCCAGCGGACCTACTCACTAAGGCCCTAAGTGGACAGCGGATACGTGACCTACTACAACTATGGGGAATACAGGACGGCTGCAGAAGGGAACCCCGCACCGCGTCTATGTCATCTACGCTGGCTACGAAGGTGTTGGTAGCAACAGTGTGCTGCATTCTGATGTTGGGTGTGGAGGCTAGGCCAATGTCCGAGACAATACAGGTGGACTCTGGCTTGTTGGACCTCTTCCTCGCGCTGCTGGTTCTGCTGGGCAGTTTGGTGCTATGGGAGTTCGCAAAATGGGCTGGGGTAGAAGTCTATCGAGGACTGCTACCAACGGAGCGGAGACTACGACGCCTACGTCGACTTCAAGAGGCCACTGCCCTGGCAATCGAAAGAGAGCTGGAACGGATGGGCCGCGAACCGGGGAACTCAGCAACCCCAGCGACTCAGCCTTCTACATCGTCTAGTATGAGGGAACGAACAGAACAAGCCGACGCGTCCCCAATGAGCCAGCCACCTACGACTGTGAGTATGAGGAGAAGGACTATGAATGAGCCGCAGCAGTCACCGACTACGCCGGTGAGAGCCCAGAGCGATGAGGTGTTTGAATGGAGATCACCTGGGCTACCTGTACCTGTAGGAGGTGAAGGACAGCTCGAGCGAGACCGTGTATGTACAGATGTGTTACTTCTCATGACAAGTGAGCACTTGAAGGAAGGACTACGTCACGAAGGAGCTCAAAATACGGGATTGAAGACAGATTTGGCAAGGAGGCTGAGTGCCTACCTTGTGGACCGGATGGATCAAGTCGATGGTCCAACGATACGACAGTTAAGATATGTGTTATGGCTGTGGAGACATGGGAATGTGGCTGGCCGCTACCAGCTGAGATGGAGCGATGTCAACAACAAGGGTCGAATCTCTCACTTTATCCATGTCTGGAAGGATAGGTAGCTATGAAGAGCATCTCCTACCTGACGGTGGAGCTGAGGAGGAGTGTTAAAGCTACCTGGCCAGGTTGGA